AAGCCAAAAATTTGTACTGGCAGATGATTAAAAAAAGCTAAGATATTGTTCTTTAGGTAGTAAGATTCTGAATTTATATGAATAGCAAAATAAATAGGCTTAGTTTAGCTTTTTTTTTTTTCCTTAAACTGGTCCTTCTGGTGTTCTTAGAGTAAGTATTTCAGCTGAAATATTTTATACCTGGTAAAATAGTAGAAGAATTGTTTAAAACTCTATGTTTTACATGTATGAAATATAACAACAGATGCAGAAAACCTTCAATTCTATCAATAATGTATAATTATGAGTTCTAAAAAACCATCTTTAAAAATTACTCTAATGCACTGTGATATTGAACACAAAGTACTGAAATACATATATCTCTACAAAAAGATGTGACTTCAAAGTATCAATTGTCTTTCATTTAATTATCACTAATGGATGCAATTAAGCAGGCAGAAAGACATGGAAGAATCTACAGTAATCACCACTGGCAAAGTTCACCTTTCAAATCCACCAGGTATTTATAGAACACACATCAGAAGCGAGATTTTACAGCTGTAACTAGAGGTATCTCTTTGCTTTAAAAAAAAGATTGTTCTGCATTTCTTCACCCCAAAGTGTATTTCCCCCTTTGACCAGTAATGTATTCAGAATAATCCAAGGGCAAAGAGGCATTTCAAGCACAGCATGGAGTGGCAGTGTCAGAAACAGTCCCTACAAAATGAAAAACTGGGTTCTGCAGTTCCTGAATACTCTTCCAGAGTCCCTAGACAGACTCACTGTCTGATCTGGGGACAGTCTGTCTACCTGATTACACAGACCTCAGAACTAGAGATGCTGAGGCTTCTCAGATCCAAAAGCCCAGTTTTTGGCATTCCCAAAATATCATCTGCCTTTCTGCTTCCTGGGCTGCTGGAGAACTCAGGATGTGAGGAAGCCATACAGGCAAGCTGGCTGGAAACCAGGCAGATTATTGATGGTAAAGCTGAGAGTCTTCTGCCCAAACCAAACGAGTTTCTGCCAAATGTTTTGATTTGAACATCCCAAGCACCCTCTAATAGGAAATTAGGATTGCAAAAAGCTCTTATGCTGTCATGTTCTTGCCCTAACCAGAGAACTGAGGGAAATAATATGCCATATCTTTGCTGAAAATTACACAATTCACAGTAGTAGGTGCTTCACTGTATTTCGAACTGTGTCAAAGCTTGGACACAGTTATAAATAAATGATGTTTTGCCTTGTCCATTCAGAGTGAACCATATGCACACTATAAAACTGTGGGTGACATGTGGAAAAAGGTATTCTTGCAAAATATAGATAACACCTAACTTGTTACATGCAGTGCTTTGTACAGAAGCAGATATTAGAGAAAAAGAACACCTTATTGCATACCTCTTGTTTATCAGATTTAAAAGATTCAAAGTCATCTGTGCGTTATTAGATGCACTATAAATTGGATTTCTGTATACTGAAAAGTACTGAAAATTCTTACTGGGGCCTATGAAGTCCTAACCACAACTAAAGAAAGCACCAGCATTACAATTCCTTGTGGCAGTTCTAAGCCCCCATTCAGGAGAGTCTTAGAAGCAAATAGACACTTTAATCTTGTATAACAATATAAAGGAGACACTTCTACGAGGGAAGTGCTGCTGAGAAGGCTTAGGTTCTGCACTGTGTTCTAATGAAATAATACTATTTACCTATATGTTCTCCATTTATAAATCTTAAAAAATATTTAAAGATTTCATATCCATTCTGCAAATAAGAAAACAGAGACATATATTTGTAGTTGCTTTCCTGGAAAAGTAGATCAGAAGCATGACTGGAATCAGAATGCAAACACACTGAATAGTAGGCCAGTGCTTCTTGGATCACACTAAATGCAGGAGAATAACACAGCACTGAACTGTAGTCCATTAAAGCCCTCAAACACTGCCCTTTAGCTTTAAGTCCACGTCTTTCCCTTTACTGAGCTTTGTGACTGTACAACTGAGATTTCTCTCTGGATCATTAAACTCCTGGCTGGAAACTGCAAGTCAGCAGATTCTGTAATTTAAAGTTTCTGAATGGACAAAAGCTCATTAGATATGTAAAGACAAAGCTGACAGCTAAAGAATATTGGCAAATAAAAGTAAGAAGAGTAGGGGTGAAAGAACTTCGGGTAAAGAGATGAAAACCATATTTTGACTTTCAAAGCACTAAAGTGAATTAGGAGCAGGCATCCTAGTGACACTTTTTTGGTTTAAAATTCATATACCTAATCTGTTACCTCAGTTAGCAGCTCCTAAAATAATTGGAAAAGATTAGGAGAAAAGAGTGTTCCTATTTAGTTTCATCTGAAAGGAATCTAGGTCAACTGCTCTCAGACTGCTCTGTGATGTGAACCAAAACTGTTCACACCACAGACTGGGACAACAGGCAGATCTGCTTCAGCATGTACTTCTGACTGGAAGCTGGATGCTAGTGCAGATGCACCCTTTCTCTGCCTATTCAGATCAAGCAAAATCCTCATTAATGACACTGGAGAAGAGCCAGCTTTGGACCCTTTTAAGACAACTGGGATTAGTTCTTTTACCAGTAGTAGCACTATTCACAAAACACAGTCAGGGAGGCTGGAAGGAACCTTTGGAGGTTACCTGGTCCAGCCCATCTGTTCATAGGGGCTACGTAGGGTTGGTTGCCCAGGAGTGTGTCCAGAAGGTCTTTGAACACATCCAAGGATGGAGAGTCCACAGCATCTCAGGGCAACCCTTGCCAGTGCTCAGTCAACCTCACAGTAAAACACTATTTCCTAATCTTCAAAGGAGACCTTTTGTGTTTCAGTTTGTGGCCACTGGCTCTGGTCCTGTCACTGGGCACCACTGGAAAGAGCCTGGCTCCCTCCTCTATGCCCCTCCCTTCAGATATGGATATACTTTAATAAGACCCCACGAGCTTTCTCTTTTCCAGGCTGAACTGCCCCAGCTCTCCCAGCCTGTCTTCATAGGAGAAACGCTCCACACCCTTCATCATCTTTGTGACCCTTTGTTGTACTTTCTCCAGTCTGTCCCTGCCTTGTACTGGGGAGCTCAGACCCCAGTGACGAATAAAGAGGAAGGAAATGAACGAATCACAAGATGAAGAAGGAAATTAATGTCTTACGTTGGTCTTTTGTGTTAAGAATAAGACATTCTTCTGTTCTGACATAAGTGAGTACATCTGAAAGTTCCTGTAATGCAGAATTTTCTTTTTTTCTTTGCCTCTTAGGGCAAAGTAGAGACAAATCAAAAAATCAATCAGGAGAATGAAACAAACTCCCACGTTGAACACTCAAGCTTGGCAGCCTATGTTAAGTGCAATGACAATTTCCAAGGTATCTCACACCTCTAGAACTGCCCGGGTCCATTTTCTAAAGGTCATCTTAGTGACTTCAATTACAGGGTGATAACTCTGAAGCACGACAAGGAATTTACACGTGTTTGTTCTGCACGCTGCAGATACACCTGGAGAAACATGAACTGGTTGCTGTGTGCTGTGCACTCCAGTCTTGAGTATTTGAACCAGACCTGGTGTTTTCAGAAAAAAGCCCCCCAGTCATCACGTTTCTATAGTGGGATAATGTTTTACTGGTGTCCATACAATAGAGCTTTTTCTGTTATACTTGAAAAGTATTGATTTTTCCTGAATTTGCTACAGATTCATACTAGTAACACAGATCAGAATTTGACCCAATGAGGGAAGAATCTGTGATTTTCTAGATGTATAAGCAACCATGAATAATTTTCATCTTTTGGGTATAATATTAGCTCTATATTTAATGCAAATTGATGCAAAATAAGATAATAAAAATTGTTCTATGATCTCTTACAGATTTCTTACAATATGCTACACTTTCTAATTCTGAAAGTATGTCCCTTTTAGACATTGCCTTTTCTGAGTAGATACTGCAAACTCAAATAAATTGTATGGTGTTTTTTTAATTTAAATCAGATTTGAACTCCTCTATTTAGAGGTCAAATGTTAATATATTAACCTAATTCACTACAATGCCTCTAATATATTGAATTGAAATATTTCCCAGGTAGTTTGTTTAGATTAGGTGGAGGTTTAATGTTCTCATTTTGAACTAATACTCACAAGAGGGATCAATGATGAAATGAGACTAATATAGCAAATTGCACTGTTCAAATGAACACAGCATAGGAAGGTGAAAATTAATTTTTTATTAGATGCTTAGGTTATAATGAAAGATATTTCTTGTATGGTTCATTTAAAACATTTGTGACATTATGCTAATTGTTTCAGCCAAACATGTTGTTGAGCTTCAAACAAGACCAAAGTTTGTGAATAAACATTTGGTGCCTACAGGAATAAATCCACTACTTACTGGAGAAGAGACCAAACAGCCTCCTATGTGGCCTCTCTTGTGAACTAAATTTGTACCAGATGCTGAGATAAACTCTGGCTTAGGAAATAATGTCTGGAAATAAGCCAGACAAGAGGATAAAAATGTAGGCAGGAACTTTTCCTAACCTTAACCTTGAGAGTGCCATCATAATGATTTCTTAATATTAAAAAAAGTAGTAAGCTAACTTAGAAATTACAGTACATTACATGGTTACATTAAGAATTTCATATTTCTTTATGCAATAGGGTCCAATCTAAAGTATTTAGGAAGTTGCTTTCCAAACCATACTTTTTTAAGCTGGTCTATTTCCTTCTAAAACCCTTTAAAACCTTGGAGAAAATATTATTATTCAGTTTTACAGGATTCACACACTGGATGATGGAATGTTGATAAGAAAACTAAATACAAATAAGCATGGTGATGAATTCCAGATGATAAGTATATCATGTTTTATCTATATAAGAGCCAGGGGTGGAAAACATTCAGAAAAATCTGATTAGTATACATTTTCCTAATTGTGAGAATCAATGTGCTGCTTCTTGCTACATTAGCTCTTTATTGTCTGAGAAATCACAGGATATAGGGAGTAAAAATGAGGTGGGAGGGAAAGAGCAAGATAGATTGTATTTACCTGAAAATTCCTGGATTTGAGAATCTTCTACTTCAAACAACAATTCATCATGGATCTGGGCAATTAACCTGAAAAATTTCAGAGACTTTAGATAACATATGCAAAAAATTCTTTCCATTTGTATCATCAACTACTTGTCACACACACAATGATAAGTTAAAGTGAAAATAAACACCCAAAGAAAATTAAAATATCATTAATGGATTTAAAAGAATTGCCAGTCCACGTATTCTGGAAACATAAAGGCCATGGTTGTAAACCCAGACTGTGCTTGCATAACTTATAAAAGTCATTCAGGGATTTGATGATGTGACAAGGTATTACTTAAAAACAATGTAATTTGCAGAAAAATGCAAGAAATTATGGAGACAGGCTATGTTTTGTTAACATACCTTGTTTTCTTCAAGTTGAGTTGGAATAAATGTAGTTGCAAATGGGTGATTTTACTAATGAAAATTAGGTCAAAATTAAAAGTATTTGGCTCATTGATACACCAGTATTAACTCCTAGCTGTTTAGTGACTTGAGTCCTTTCCAGGAAATAATGTTTTCACTTCTGTGCAAAGTGGGTGTCCTCATGCTGACAAACAAGGGGGTTGAAGAATGAAACTGCAGGCTCATACACAACCTGATCCAGTGCCTGTGCTATCAGGACAGTCGCCTCCATAAGGACAGAGTGTACAGCTGAAAGCAGTAACACCCTGAAAGCTCAGCAGCTACAAGTACTCGAGCTCTTCAGCTGGAGCTGTTTTGTAAGGAAATGTAACTGCTGCTTTGTTTTTCTCTTTGTCTGCCATACTGATAGGTCTCTTGCATATGCACTGTGACTTATTTGTAGAGTGCTCACAGGAGTAGCACCCTAAATTGTTGGTTTGAACGTAAATGAACTTTCACAATGGAAATGATAAATGTATTTGATTGAATTAAGTCCACAGCAGAATAGATGCAATATAGCACATATAATCCCCGAGTGTAGTAGTAGTAAAAATACAGTATACCTGATTAGACTTTATTCCTATTAGATCTATTTTATTACTTCTTTAAGTACTGTAGCTGGGAGTGTAAGTCATAAAACTGTAACATCCATTTCCAAATTTCTTTGCAATTAGTATATAACATAAGAAAGACCTGCACCTGTTAGAGCAGCTCCAGAGGAGGCTTTGAAGATGCTCAGAGGGCTGAAGCACCTTCCCATGGGGACAGGCTGAGACAGTTGGGGTTGTTCAGCCTGGAGAAGGCTCCAAGGAGACCTTACAGAACCTTCCAGTACCTAAAGGGGCTACAAGAGAGATGCAGAGGGATTTTGCCAAGGGCCTGGAGAGACAGGACAAGGGTAACAGCTTCAAAATGACAGAGGGCAGGGTTATAGATTAGATATAAAGAAGAAATTCTTCTTTATGAGCATGGTGAGGCACTGGAACAGTTGCCCAGAGAAGTTATGGATGCCTCATCCCTAGAAGTGTTCAAGGCCAGGTTGGATGGGGCTCTGAGCAACTTGGTCATGTGGAAGGTGCCCCTGCCCATGGCAGGGGGTATGGAACTAAATGGCCTTTAAGGTCCTTTCCAATCCAAACCAAACCATTCTGTGATCCCATTTAAATTAAATGCCCATTGTAGACTTTTCTTAATACCTAGCAGTTATTCAAGTAAATACTTCTTTACAAATGGCTGAAACATCAATATGGTTACTAGTAATAACTTTTCACAGTTTCTTAAGATAGTTTCACACTGCCTTAAATTACAATGTGACATTGACTAACAGTATGGTGAGCTCTAATAATAGCTCTTAAATTATTAGTCACTTACAACACAGTCAGAAGCAGAGGGAAACAGATTAACATATTTCTAATAGGAAATTGGGACACAGGATACAAAAAAGAAATAGATGAAAAGACCAGGATCATCTGTAGCAAGAGAATACAGTTACATTAAAAGTTATAGTTTCTAATGCAAGTAAATTAATTAAAGCAAGAGCGTCCTCATAATCATTGAAATGACATGTAAAAGATATAAATCAGAACAGTGAATATTAAAGATGAACAAACTGTGAATCAGTGGAATAAGTGAAAATAATTGCATTGATTAAACCAGTGCAATAAAAACATGAGAGACTGGTTATTGTATGTACCAGAGTAGTGTTTCATGCCTTCAGTCAGGATAAGAGCACCATATATTCTGTATGTATTAGTAAGGAAAAGTCCTTTCTGAGAAGAATTTACAATATACATAAAAATTTTATCATAAATTTATCAGAACTTAGGAATGGAGGAAAAGGATTTTAAAAACCACTCAGCATTGTTTCTACTGATCACCTCATCTTTAAAGGAAAAACTGCATTCAGGAGGAGCAAAGTTGGACCAAAATTAAGTGTTACCTTCATGCATGCCCAAAAACCTGTGGAAGCAACATAAATTAACTCACAATTTCTGTATGGACAGCAAAATAAACTTGACACAACTCTACATACTCCAGTTCACGTACTGAAAACAGCACAGCTCTTATAGCTTGGTTCTCCATCTGAGTTGGAGGATCCTGTTTCTCATCCTTATCATCCTGAATAGCACAGGCCACAGCTGGTTACATTGCCAGTTAACTCAGGAACTGCTCAGAGTTGCAGGGTTACATCTACCCCATCTTAAACATCTAGTGATTAAGTTGAAGTTCAGGACAGCATTTTGTCTGCTAAACACAGAACTAGAAATTCACATTTGATGGTTCCCTGTCTAGCTCTGCTACTTTCCTAAGCAATGCAAATTCAGTTAGAAAATGGGGATAATATTTGAGAGATCTAAGAAATAAGTATTTCTAATACACTTCTATTCAAATGAAAGGTATTACATAAGATTTAATTAACGCTAAACGTGATTTCCTAGATTGATGCCAAGAAGTGAAACAGTATACACAATTTCCTCCTTAGCATTCATCAATCAAGTTAGATATTTTCTTGATGATCTCTTATCTCTTTTTCTTATCCATTTCACATCAAATTAATATGTTTTGCTCTTACAATCTTACAGTACAAGGCCAACTGTATTTTTTCAGGCTTGTTAAAGTAATAATACTTGTATGCAATGTGCTGTTCCACAGAAGGAAGCATTCAATTTGACAGCAATACACATGAAAGAAAAAAAATCAAAGCAATTTACGCATTCAAAATTCATAGCTTTCACCATTCCAGTGCATGCACCCACCCACCCGTTGCACACCTTGAGTGAAAGAAGTTTGAAAAAATCCCTATACTTTTGCTTAATAGCTTAATTGAATCCTCTTCACTTTGAAGGAATATTGAAATAGCAAGCTCCTCTCATTAACTGTTGCTAAGAGGTATGGCCAGCTGGATTACAAATTGCAAACCAGGCAGAGACTAGTTGTTTTTTTTTTTTGTTGTTCTACAGATGATAAGAATGCCTTTGATTTACAAGCTAATATTTTATTAACTATTTTCTTGATTGTCTGAAAATCAGGCAAGATTGCCATAGTAGCCTTTATCAGAGGCTGGTTTTTAACAGCCACATGCAGTGTTTCGGGACATTACAATGTGCCAAGAGTTCCTCAAAATAATTAAATTCATGCTCCTTCTATAGATAAGGGATTAAGGTTGGTTCTGACTTTGATGTTCTGAACTGACATCTGGAAAAGCCCAACTCTATGCATTGACTCTGTGGGGGTAAAATCAGTCATTTTCTACTCAGACAAGGTTTTTGTCATTTAAAAAAACACCATGTCCCTGATCATTGAAATTGTGAACATTTTCTGATACAACAGTATTAGATTTTATATCCCAATAATTAATATCCTTGTAATTCCTTGTAATCCTATGCAATCCCTTTTTTTGACATAATCAAATAAATCAATGATCAATAAATAATAATCTAACTAGCAATATAACATTTTTCATTTTGAATCTGAAACCTCTAAATGCCTAATGGGAGACTTCAACACTGCAGACACAGGAGTACATGGTTAAAAGTTTTGCATATAAAAATAAGTTTAAAAAATCCCCAAAAAGCATAAAAGCTTTTAAGCGGCTAGGAAACAAACAAACAAAAAGATAAAAACAGTAAGGTATTTTGAAATCAGACAAATAGGGATATATGAAAAAAATCCCAAAACCAAACACCAAAAAACCAAAAAAACAATGGAAATAAGTTTTATGTTTTGTAACTGAAAAGAAGAATTTAATGACTTGAAAATCTGAGACATTCACACTCAATAAATAAATATTTAATAAAATAAAATAATGGTTTAAAAGGCATGTAATGAAAGACATTGTCAGAAAAAGCCAGAATGGCTGCTCATGTAACAAACACTTGTGTGGATTTCAAGAACATTGAGAAATGATGACATACAATGAATTTGTGGGAAGACTTTTAAATCTTATGTTTCAGAACTTAGACTCATCTCCACAAGTAGAGGAAGATGAAAATCTGCAGACAGACAGGCTACCCCACTACAGATCTTACACCTCCCTCCTGAAGCATCTGCTACTGGCCACACTCAGCAATATGGATGTTGGCCAGATGGATGTTGGATCCTATTCTTCTTAGAAATATCCGTGTTCCCTACACTAAAACACTATTCATTTTTTTTCTGATACTACTAATACTACCTGTTATTTAGCTTTGCCACAGCTTCCCCACAGATTCCAGTGGACAAAATGTCTATTAAGTTGTCACGTAACTAAGGAACAAGGTTATGATAATTTTGTAATATTTTGTAGAGTTTTCCTGTTGGTTTGTTTTGGTTTTTTTTGAAGCTGCATCTATCAGGATTTCTAATGTGGTACTATAAAAGTTATAGTTCAAGACACATCATGTCTTCATAAATGTCACTTGCATTAACTTTAAGCTACCTGTTCCAGTGTTTCCATGATAAATACCAAGATATTTTAACATTTTAACCATAAAAATCCAGCTAATTTATGAAATTGGTTTTCTCAGCAGCTACATCATGAAGAGAAGGAAACTGAACAGATGGTTAATTAAAGATAATAGAATTTTTGCATGTATCCAAAGTGTTTGAAAACATACCAATCTAAAAGGTGACCTGCAAAAGGGTTTTATAGATGAAATACATTTATTTGCATCCAACAACTCACATAAAGGAACCCTGAAAAACCTGCTACATCATGAATGTCCTTTTTGGCTGTGATATTTAAGCATATTAAATATACTTTGTTCTTTCTATAAAGAATAACTCTGACTTGCTCTGGCTTACTGTGCATGAAGTGTTCAGGTAACAGTGGATACATGCAAAATACTGCTTTGAATGCTCAAGGAAAGTGATGATTTTCCTAAGTGACAGCCTGCCCAGAAATTCAATGTTATTTGGCCACTTTGGGAAGCGAAGAGCTACATGTTGGTCTGGGACAGCAGCTAGGGAGAGTTCCCAGTCATTTCTGACATAGCAATACAACCTGGGAACTTCCCTTCTGCTACTGAAACAAAAGCATTTGTGTATGAAACAACAATCTTACTCTCCTCTCAAGCAGAATCCAAAACTTTTATCTTTTCCTTGTGATTCTATTTCTCCAGTATTAGGCTATAGATAAAAGTTGACCATCTTGCTAGAGTTAATCCATATCCTGGGTGGGAAGTGTGGGCAGAGTACCAGAGCAATAACCATTTACTAGAAAATCCTGGTTAACTGGTAGAGAACATGACTAAAAACAATTATTTAATTCCTGAAGAAACAGATAAAGGGAAGTAAGATTTATGTTCAGAGTTAAAGAAAATCAACACACATAGCAGCAGCTCTAAGCATTTTACTGAATGTATTTGGTTGAAACTATGATGTAATCATGAAGTTTGGTTTATTAGTATGCCTTCTTGTATGAATCTGAGAAATGATAAGAAGTTCATAAAGTAATAATGATTGAATCCCTACACACCTTTTAAAATGCCTCTGGATTCTTGTGTCATACTAAAACTGAAGCCACTTCCAACAAATGAATCATGTGTGATTTATCACATGACTTGTATCTGAAGAAAATCCAGGTCAGATAACAAAATGCTTGTTCTTGGGATGATAGGGGCTGTTTCTAACTAATTTACCTATCTGCAGAAGTGAGCTGCATTTACAGCTCACCAGCTCAGAAAATCATTAGGTTGATTAAGGAGTTTGTTCATTGAGGAAGACATATAAAACCTCCAGCATCCACTGCTATTGAAAAACAGCTGGGACCAAGAAAATATACCTTTTCCTTTTATTTGCTGGTGGCTTTTCCTTTTCAGATCACTCATTTAGATCTGGCCTGTGGCTGAACCTCTCTCTTTAACCAGGCTCCGGACATGCTAAGAAGTAAAGCTGTGTGTTTGTGGCACAGGTCCAGTGCTGAAGGAACAATAAATTGGTGAGAAAGCAGAATTTCTGGATTCACACCAAATTACTCAATGGTTTTGTAGACTTGTTAAAATTAATTTGCATGTTGTTGGGATATTATCATCTTTAATGACTTCCTGAGAAGTTCATGTAGCATCAGGTAGACTTTGGGTAACCATCAGTGCAGCTTCAGCTTACAAAATGATAATATGTACAATCATTGCCATAGGGAACAATTCTTCCACAGTTTGCCAGCATCCTTCTTTCTCACCAAGCTTCCATGTGTCTGCCACTGCAGTGATGTTTTAAACACTGAAAAGAACTACAACTGTCCATCTGAGTTCATTGAGTACCTTTACCCTCTCATCAATTCCATAAATCTTTCTTTCAGCTGCTACTGCATGCCTTGATCTCACTTCAGAAGTTTCTTTGCTATCATCTGCCTGCAGGAAACATCATGTGGAGGTTCTGTGGATTGCATCAGACAGGTAAAAGCTGGCACTTGAATAATTTATGTCAGCAGCACATTTTCAGCAAGCAACTTGGCCAGCAGCAGCAGAACAGCATCTTAAGAAAGATCTAGGTAATATGGAAGTCTGAAGAAAATGTGATTACTTGTCAGTGCCACACAAAATGCAGAGATACCAGTAGCCAACTCATACTAATATCAGATCCATATCATATGTGTTGCATTTAATGCTACTTTTCCTGGTTTCTGTAAAATTATTTCCAAGTAACTGATTGATTTTTTACTGTCAAAGCATAACCTGCTAGGCTGGCATTTGAATTAAAAGATGAAGGAACACAAAGAGAAAAATGAGACTGCTAGTTGCCAAAATAGAATTGATCAGTCACAGTGGAATATCCTGTTTCATCAAGAAGGCCTCTCTGATGAAGCCTCATGAAAATGTGACTTGATTACCTTTCCCTGACTTCCAAATGCAGTATCATATGTGCAAATAATAACTGAAAATCTACTAACTGCTAGTCACACGAAAATGAAGTTTCAGATTGTCAGGTCAGAGCTTGCTCACAGCTGAACAGCTTCCAGAGCAGAACAATGAATGCAGTGCTGTGAGTGAAGACTGCAAACTAACACTAAAAACTGTAAGACCTTACCCAGAATTATTTTTTCTTTATTTCCAAGGTAAGGAAGACAAAATGTTGAGCATTAGCCAAAACCTAGCTATGCTTAATAGGATACTGTCTCCCAGTGTAAATGTTCATAAACACTTCTAAAGCCTGTAAAAATGATATTTCCCTTTGATATGCTGTTCAAAGTGAAAATTCTGTTTCCAAAATTAGAAATTCTAATAGGGAAATAAAGATACTTACAAGGGGATGAAGATAGAAGAAAAGATAGTAGTGTGCTATCTTTGGAATGAATATGATCTGATGGGATGATAATAGGAGATTGATTATATTTTCCTTTTGGAAGAGTTACTGTGCATTCCCACTGTTACAACAAGAGCACCGATTATGTACACACTTCCTTTTAACAATATTTTTCAAAGGGTTTCATAAAGGATGTTAGGATCATTATCCTGACTTGACTGATAAGAAAATCAAGAAACAGACTACTGAAAAAATAACTAACTGAATGTCACCTGGCAGGCAAGTGGAAACACAATATTTCAAGTTTCAGTCCCATACTCTTTTGGCAACACCCCACTGATGCTTTCAAATGCCACTGTCCAAACTGGTGAGTGTTCACAGAATTTATAAAGGCATTGATTGTGCTTTTCTGACAAGTCTGGCCATAAGTACCTACTAAATATTACAGCAAGGAGCCATTATTGACTATTAAAATGCTCTCCTCTAGCAAAGCCATTCAGTTGTTAATGGCTGGCAGGAGTTCAAAATTCTTGTTTAAACTAGTCTATCTCTTTGACATGTCCTTGCAGTTTTGATCTTTCCCAGCTGTGACATTTATGATAAGAATAAGTAGGATAGGCAGTGATACTTTGCTGTTGTCTGGTGTAGCCATTCCCCTAAGCTTTCACAAGGAATGTCAACGTGTAAAACTCCAATATTTCCCCATATCTGTTACCTCCTCAGCCATTTGGTGACACTACTTCTTTAAAATAAATAGTTTTGAGAAATAAAAACCCAAACAAAATTTTCTGTTGAGAGAGAAGAAAACATTCATGAGCTTTATCAGACATGACATTTGGCTTTCTCAGACAACAAACAGCCAGTTACTGAACCTAAAGATCTGTGTGCCAGGTAGGAACTGCAGAAGGGAGTATGTTCTTTGCCCTCTCAGCACCTCCACTTGCCTCCCCTACTAAACACTGTTGGCTACTCCTCTATCACTAATCTAACTCGAAGTTTTGCTTGCTACTGATACAGAAATTTTCATCCATGCCACAGCCATCAGATTCTGGTCTCTTCATTCAACTCGGGTATCAAAAAGAATTATAATCAGTGCAGAGAATCTGCTTGAAAATGTAGAATGCAATATGTGATAGTGCATCATCCAACATTTAACACAGAAATGAACCACTGTCTGAATGCAGGCAGGATCTCCACCAAAGAATCATTTCCCATTTCAGATCTCTACTACCAAGAACACTCAACAGTTTTATTTTTGGCATAGGAACGACTCTAACTTTGAATTCAAAAAGTGGAATTTATATGTTTTCAAACATGGATCAAATAAGACAACACCACTGTGTGTAAATTATACACACACACATACACACACACACAGAGTATTTATAGGTTAGATATTACACATAATTGCCAAGTATATTTGGAAGGCCAAACCCTGTTCCTTTGTAACCTAAATACCCACTGAAGTCTTTAACACATGATTGCTACAGCTAAGTTGTTATTACCCCTTCTAGATGACAGAAACACTGATGTTCTGTGCTATCTGCTATCTCTGCTTTTATTTGAACTTCTACTGAACAAATTCATGTGCCACTGGATTGTTTACTACAGCATTACACAAGATGAGAACCCATTTGTTTGGGCTTTTTTTCTGCCTGTTTGACTACAAAGTATCTTTCTATTTCAGCAAATAATAATGGTCCCTGGCTCTCTGCACCATCCCCTCCATCCTTTTTACAGGAAAAGTAGACTTCATTATTTCTGCTAGTGGTGTAAAACTCTTAGGGATGTTCTGTGATCTCCTGCCCAACTCTCAGCAGTCACAGCAGAAGAAAATCATGATGACCAAGTTTTTCTTTAGCAAAGGAAAGCCATCTATACAAGAATAAAAAACGTTCATTTATTTTGCTTGAGTACTGGTTTCCTGATTCCTGTTTTTTTTCCCAGCCCATTGAATGTTCAATTCCCACTGTACAATACCCTCAAAATACAGGAAGGATATGATCAGTGGGCTTGATTTCAAAGATGCGGAACTACCACTGAACTGGATCTGACTGAGTTTAAATGGCCCTGGGGCATTTTATTGCCTTGGGATGGATTTACAGATCCAACCATTAAAGTACAAAGATGTAACTTTAAATGTATAAAACCATCCCACAAGTCTTTGCTTGTTAAAAGATTCAGAGGCATACATGATATTTCTACAGCTGCTTAAAATGCCAGAAATATATTCATTTCAGCCGATTTTGCTTTAAGAACAAACAGTTTTGCAGTCATTCATTACTAACCTGGCTGTTAAAGTGGAAGAAACGACAACAGAGGTAAAAATCTTCACCATGGCCATTTTACAAAGATCAGCTGCAGAGCCTATGAAAGAAAGTGATCTGCTTTTAATTTAAAGCACGCAAAAGGAAAACGTTCTTCTTGGAACTATGGCATAGGAATGAAAAACATCCGAAGATTCTGAATTATCAGAACTTTCAAAACTAGCAGATCCAACTGATGTAATATGTGAAACAGATTATAAGATTAATAAATAACAAACAAAATAATTACATGTTAATTAAAACTAGAAAATAACAATATGAAATTATGTGTAAATTAAAGGTGAATTTGTCAGTCATAGCTATAGGTTGAAAAATTCCTTTTTATAAAAAAAAGTCTGAAATTATCTAAGTTTGAATTAAAATTTATCTATAAATCCATTCAAATTTATTGTCACAAAAGGTCACAACATTGCTTCAGTGCTGCATTTCAATTTGGAACCTTAATTTTGTACTTTTTCATATTTCCATGTGTATTTGATGTATATTCATATATTCATTACATTACAGTGTTAAGAGCAGTGGTGCATAAAACAGTGTCATGGTACATAATAGATAACACATTTCTGGTGATCAAGAGGCAGAATGATTCTCCAGGCCTGCAGTTTGGTGAAAGGCTCTGTTCTGAACCATATACTTGACATAAAAGATTTATCAGATAAAATACAGAAACAATCCTTTAGGTAAGGATTGGAAGCCATAATCTTCTTTGTCCCATCAGATATCCTAAATGTCCTAGACTGCACCCTGTAACCTTCTCGCACCCCGTAACTCAACGAATTTTGAATTCTTTCTTCCAAATGGTTCAACTTTCAGAGTAGGGATAAGGAACAGCCAGGTAGGTAAGTTGTAAGGGTACTGTGCTGGGAGATAATCATAGAATCATAGGATACCCCCAGTCAGAAGGGACCTATAAGGATCATCGAGTCCAACTCCCTGCTCCTTGCAGGACACTAAATCTGAACCATATGTCCAAGAGCACCATCCAGACACTCCTTGAACTCTGACAGGCTTGGTGCCATGACCACTTCCCTGGGGCTGGCCCTTCTGGCTAAGGGAGAATGTCTAAGAGAACGAGGACTCAGACTTACAGCTCTTCTTCCTCCACAGTTTTCTGTGACAAACTGCCTCCTCTGAATCCTGTGCTAAGACTGTTTTGGTCATTGACTGTATCAAGTGCAGACCTATGGCTGAGAGATGGCAATGTCTGACTGCAAGTTTAGCCTCAAATACCTGTCTTGTTTTCCTGTTCAAATGATGTGTCAAATTGATTCAATACATCACAAAAAGGGACACATTGGTATAAAAGGTAGCAAAGGATGTTTCAGTAAAGGTCAGGTAACTTAGTGATCATGAGAATAAAACTGTGTAATTGAGTATTTAGTCCATCACAATACATATGTTCTATATATATTCTTAATGAAAAAATGTAAAGTAATAAAATACAAAAGAATTCTCAAAATCATTTTTTCTGAGAGATGATCTTTAGAGATAAGCTATTTTAAATTTTTAAAAAGAAAATAATTATATCCTTCTGGTTGATTTTGTCACAACTATAAATAAATAATAAAAGATAAAATGAATGGTTTGCTCTATGTGGATAGGTAGAGCTGAATTATAACTGAAGAATATTATGCTGTACATTGGTGAAAACTATTGAACTGGAAATATTCAAAAAGAGAAAAAATGAAAGAAGTGTGAGAAACCCAGTTGCAGTAAGTAAAAGGTGGGGCTCTACATTCCTCTCAATATTGTCATGCATCAGAAGAAGTCTTCTGCTACCAGTTGCTGCTACGATAACCAAAATGCAAACTACTTAAATTAATCAGACTATAGGTATAACTATAGAACACATAAATTAAATGTAGTTTAGTTCACTAACTATGATAAAAGGTTTTAATACAATTTATTAAGTTTTTACATTCCTAAAGTATTATCTCGTGGCTGAAATCCTGAAATTAAAAAATCATTGTAGTCTAGAATGAAATTTTTTATAAAATTTGGGAATACCAAATATTTTAGAGTTTTTCATCCTTGTTTTATCACACCTTACAATATCAAATGTTTTGAGTAACAACCACATTATTTTTCATCAGATTTGTCCAACAGTGAACTATGACAATATTATCGTAGGTACTTAGGAATGAGTGTTTGGTAGACAGTCCTGTGACAGCTTTGCCTCAGCTCCAGCTCTTGGGACAGATGGACAGAGCAAGTGCTGCTCAGAGGGCCGTGTTTCTTTATTAATGGTGCACTGTAAGCTCAGCAGGACTTGCTGTGTTGGCTCAAGCATCGTGCCTTCACCTGGAGGGGCTCCATCCAGCTGGATGGGAGCAGCTAAACTGAGCACGAGGCTCTGGAGAAGGCTGGACAGGTATGCCCATAAACCTTTGCTGCAGATCTTACAAGGACATTTTAAAATTCTACAGGTGGGGGCCTCTTACAGCAAGGCACTGTCACTCGAGCACAACTATTACTCAAGCAAGGGGTATATATTAGAATTCTAGATCTGTGGGCGTCCTTGCAGAGACAGTACTGAAAGTCAGTTACAAATTATAAGGATTGTCAAACATGACATAAATACTTACGTCATTTTAAACACGAAACATTAAAATGAATAATATTTGGAGAGATAAAAACAAAACCTAGCACACAATCCTTTCAAAAGGAAAATTCAAATCACTTTATAAGGAGCACTCCATCACCATGTCTAGAAAGCACTTTTCACCTGCCTGTAAATTGTACACTTCCAACATAACTTAAGGAAAACCCTGTCAGCATCACCAATTAGAAAGTAATTCTTCCAAGGGATAGCTTAGTAGGAAGCATCTCAGTCTGGGACTGGAAGCTCAGGTTGTTTTTTCCCCTTGGGTAGCTAAATTCTGTACACAACTGAACCCCAAGTGATTTAAACAGAGTATATTAATGCATCAGATTAACTAGCATGTAAGCACTTACTGCTGATTTCTACATTTTCAATCTATATGGTAAATTGGCAAGGTTTTTCTGTGAAAAAACATCTTTTTTCTTGCCCTTCACAGAATTAAGTTTGAATGTTTCTTACAACGAACGAGTTGGGTTTCAAAACAAATACTAACAACACACAACTCTTGTAATGTTTTATATTTCTTAAACCAGAGCTATCTGGCAAAATAAAAGCTAGAATCTGTAAGCAGCGTAATTACAGAAACCCTTCTGGAATAACAAACTAGGAAAACCAGAAAGGAAAATGTTTAAATACAACAATGCATCAGAAGAACTGAATTCCAGATATTCTCTCTATACACAGTATGCATTATTTAACCACCACAGAGCACTCCAATGTATCAAAACATTTATCCTGTTGTTGTTGTTATTATTGTTGTTGTTTACCAGCAATTTCCAAGATAGTCAGATGACATAATTTTAACTTCTCTTTCATGGTAAAACCTCACACTTCCTCCAGCAGACTACTAGAATTTTCATTCTTCTGAGATTACCAGAATTGTTGCCCACTAAAGCCAAGCAGAGATAAAGAGACAGGTAGATAAGCAGGAAGGTAGGTGGGTGGGTCTTTACCTTGAACAACAAAATTGACAGCCTGCCTCTCTGCCTGAGTGCGCAGTTTGTAATCCTGGGCATTGATGTTGGCCAGGGGTCTTTTACGTCCCATTATGGAAACCACATAACCTGGTAGGATTTAAATAGAAATCAGTATTCTTAGAGTGATTAAATTTCAAACGTTCTTTTTGAAGATAATATAGATATTTGTAATTATGTGCTGCCCGAGTCAATTTTTGTACTCTGAAAACAGACCTTATTTAAACTTTAAATGCTTATTGTATTTGGGATTTAATAATTATTTCACTCAGAGAATTGGTACATGTTATACAAGGAAAACTTCTGCTCATTAAAGCTGTATTTTCATTAGGAATGTCTACTGATAAACCACCAAACTCTCTCTGTGGGAGATGAACCTATAAATACCTAGCAGAATTAGCTATCTATTAGCAGCCATAATTAGAGCTTTTCATGCAATGAGTAGTTTACTTGGGAATAGTAAAGAAAAATCAATTTGTAAAGTAATTAAATCAGTAATGAATATATTCCAAAAATATAAAATAGTTTTTGGGGAAAAAAAACAAAATTATATCTTTTTTTTTCCATTTTCTTTATGTGGCATTTCTGTGTTTCTTTTACAGCCAAACTTTCTTAACTTTAGTGTGGTGGGGATTTTTAGTTTAAAAGAAACATATGAAAACACAGTTAAAATTTTACATTAGGACTAATGATGTATTGTGCTAAAGAAACTACTTGGGAGGGCAAGAGAGAAGAGTTGAGAAGGAAAAGAGACATGAGGATGCTCTTGTCAAAAGAACACATACAAAAACTTAGCTTATCTTCAAAACTAAACTTCTTATTTTAAGAAAAATTAAAAGATCATCCACGTGAAAAATAAATCTTTAAAAAAATATTCTGCTATAGTTCTGATCCCCTTGATTACCCATGAATTGTCATTATATGGAAGTTCAGTCTGCCACGGCTTCATTTCCTCTGTGGCAACCAAGCCATGCAAGCACAAGTGGTAAGGAGACCTCTTCAAAGAAAAGGTATAACCTTACCATGAACAACACACACTCAGGCTTATGTGAAGAGGAAGAAGATGGTTCTGTTGAATTAATACTGCTTTCTGTGAATTAGTATATGCTGATACCAAAAGTACCAGTTTTGGAGCAAGGAACTCAATTATCTGGGGGTTAGGATATTCTTTGGCAAATCAGTCTTTCCAGTTTAACTAAGATTTTCCACAAAGAACAGTATTTAAAGATGGAACTGTTGAAATATTATATTCTCAGGTAAAAATAGATTTGCTGTAATCTCCTTATTCCCATGAGGTGTGACTCCACAACAGAATCGTCCCTGCAATACTCATAACTGATCAGCATCCCCAGACAAATACCATCATTCATGTAACAGTGGCAGAGGATGTGTCTGGGGTCAATGATTAATCTGCAAATACATATCTGAATGAGGTCTTAAAGGAGTCTTTTTAATATGCCAACAATTTCATTAAAAAACAACAGCAATATAGTAATAAATACAATAACAAATATCTTCATCAAAAATAATTATTTATAAGCTTATCATGTCTATATGGAATATCAGACATTCATAACACCTAAATAATATTAGTTGGGTGGATGCTGCTCACCTTTGAACTGCAGATAAAGAAAAATTACCTTAATATGACCTCACTAGGTTGGAATGTTTTTGTTGGAAAGCTAGAATCTGAGGTGGATTAACAAGAAAAATATTAAATAATGCTGATGTGCTGCAGATTTTTAGAGGTTGTACAACCTAAAGAGGTTGCTCTTCTACCATTAATGGTTTAAAAAATGTTTGATAGACAGCAGTGCAAGGAGGAGTAAGAATTAATTAGACAAATGTGCCTTGACATTAGAACATCAGTCATGACACTCTTATCTACCGAACTTATAAACCAGATTCTCTACCACAGAAGTTCGTTTATTGAAATGCATTCATTTTTAAGAAAAGAATGCTGCTATTTTAAGTAGATCATAAATATATAACAAATGTGTAATACTGTGTAGTATTTTACTAGGTATGTTATGTTGGGCTCAATTCTAGCTGAAAATATATTGTTCAGTAGCTTCACTTTTCTTGACTAACATTAATGAATGAAGGAACACAACTGCGTGACACAATGACAGCTCATGCTTCCAGCAGATTTGTAGGCCTTACAAAGTACAAAAAAGGAATACTACCCATTTTCATGACCAGAAGTCAATTACATGTTTCTATCATGACATACAATGGTGGGTAATATTATATTGTAAATTTACTATTTATTTCTACAAAATGTCTTAGTACTGCGTGCCCTTTTAAGAAACAAAAGAACTCAATTTTGACAGTTCTGCTAATTAGCTTTTAAAAGACAATATTTCAAGCAGCTATGTTTTCTCTCCTCAAATTACTGCACTCCTAGGATTCACTAAATATAAATGAATATGTAGACTAACAACAAATTTGATGCAAGAAGAGTTTGCAGCTGCTGGCTCCAAGAAGCACTCTGCACACATCTGTCATCACAGCTACCACCTGAACTTCAAGCACATAAATTCTGACTGATGCAAATAAAAAATAAGTTTTAAAAAATTGGCTGTGTAATTGGCTGAGCTTCCACGGTCCAGCAGCCATGTAGCCTATTTATTAAGTAAAAGATTCCCTGGGCTTCTTTGTGTTAGAGTACATCATATGTCAAAATGACGCAGTGTAACTTGACATTAAGTAGGGTTCACTCTGAGAACAGATGTCTTACTCTGTTAGCATCTTTCTGAGAAAAGGCAGACAGGTTTAAGCAGCTCCTCTTAGGGTTAAAAAAAGAAACAAAACCCCAAACCCAATTCACCAAGAAATGATCTTCCATCTTTTTTTATTGTATTACAACTATCAGAATTTGGGTTGAGCTGAATGTTTGTCTTCACCACTGTCAAACAGTGCTGATCAGTACATACAATGTGGTCACAGACTTTGGATTACCTTTATTTCGGCATTGCTCAATGGTTTTCTTCGTAAATTCATGCACTTTCTTGTATTTTTGCATAAAACTCTCTATAAATTGACTGGCTTGAAGAGGAGTAATTCCCAAGCAGTCAGCAAGACGTTCTTTACCTGATGGTAGAGAAATTATCTTTATTATGCAATAAAGCAGAACAGAAATCCACTATATACAATAGCACTGTTCCATGTACAATTACTGGAATTAACTTTACTCAGCTCTCTCTGTGAAAGAGGATGGATCTGATATACTACAATCACATGTCAACAAAATAAATGTTTAACTCTCAGCTTGAATGTTTTACTGAAGTTACTGGACTAAGTATATAATTAATAAGAAGTATACCAGAATTATGTCATTAAGAAATTCCTAGTTAAAATTTATACCTATAATGTGGTTGAAATCTTTTGTTCACAGAATAACTCTGTGAAGCTTTAAGTATCATTTTATTAATTCAGAGTAGAAATCTGAAAACTCTGAAGAGCAGATAAAGACAGGAAATCAATTTTAAACAAACACAAATATAAATGAAGATCTAAAAAGGAATTGAGATGTGTGAGGTTGAGTTTAGCTAGAAGCTTTAGAGTTGGTGTCGAAATCACAAAAACTTAACTGCTGAAGCAATCAGATCAAATAGCCTGAATTTAGAAAGGCTGTTAGGAGACTGAGTCCCACAGATTTCAAACAGGCTTCTCAATGTCTGTAAAAATCTGTGTCCAAGTTTTGAGATAAAAGGGTAGAAAAAAGAAAAGAAAAATCAGAAAAAAGTGTTTCAACAGAGAGAGAAAGGAATAATAGCTTTTGGACAGAATATAGGTACACAAGATATATTACGCTGGACCTAAAAGCACTTATAAAAATGTGGAAAAAACCTGAAGACAGTTTTTCAGAGTGTGAAAATATAAACTAAGAGCTACAGTTGAAACACATTTATAAACTAAACAGTTCCAGCAAAAATAAAACATACATCAACATTAGTCATATGAAGTTTGAAAGACAGATATATTTGTGTCAGCTGCACAGCAACACAGAACCAGCCCCGTGTCTGCAAAGAACATAAGCTGAGAGGTGACATCTCAAGGCACGAAAGGCACAGAATAGTCCTTGTCACGGTAATACTGTCAAGAAAAATTATCTAGCACTTTTAAAAGAGAGAGGATTTCAGCCACCTAAATGCCATCACTGTCAGTCCGATGTGCATTTCAGAATAATTCTGTAGCATTTTGTTCTCAGTCATGCCAGGATCTGCATTGAGCTGCAGGAACACCAGTCTGGACAAGGGACTAGAGGAAGACATTCACAAGACATCCAGGATGACACTTGCTGAGCTATTATAGGTCTGTACTTTTTTTTTTTTTTTTGACATCTAACTAATTTGGGTTTTCTTCCTGGGTTAGCAAATGATAAATTTATCTGCTAAAGCACATATTGCTAACAGCTAGAAGACTTCTGTAGCTTCCTTAGAGAACTGTAACATCTAAGTTTGTCCATGTTATCCATTTAAAGAACTATTAATATAGAGAACAAAGTATTGCATAAAATACTAGGAAAATTAAGGCACAAAATTAGCAAGGACGTCTGAAAGGTCCCAGGGAAATACAGTTCCTGGGAAGCAAAAAGAGGTGAAGGTACAGCCACATAATTGTGTCAGATCATGTTCCACAACACAGGAGCATAGGCCATGCCAAGTAAAGCCCAGGAGTGGACTAAAGCTTCCCTGAGCACTCTCCTTGAGTTATCTATGCCAGGGGAATTATTAGTAGTAGCCTGTGATTTTTAGTGTTCTCCATTCTGTAATACCATCTTTCAAAATTGAAAATAGCATTAGTTTTCATTTAAACACTTTGACATCCCTCTGTGTCAATTTAGGGCATTGAACTGAATGAATTCCTTATTTTACAGATGTTTAAGTTCTCCATGTTTTAGTTTTACAAGATGACTGAGGCAGAAGCACGTGAATTGAACTGCTCCAAATCAAGCAAAAGTATTCATAGAATATCCTGAGTTGGAAGGGACCCACAAGGATCATCAAGACCAATTCCTGGTCCAACACAGGGCACTCCAAGAATTGCATCATGTGCCTGAGAGTATAATCCAAACAATTCTTGAACTCTGTCAGGCTTGGTGCTGTGACCACTGTTCTGGGGAGCCTGTTCCCACACCCACCCACCCACCCTCTGGGGAAAGAACCTTTTCCTAATAACAAACCTTCTTTCTTTATTATCCTCCAGAATTACAGAAAAGACCTTGAAAACATAAACCAAGGATAACCTAAAGCTAAGAAAACAAAACCAAAAACAATACTATTTACTACATGACAAGTTTTCATTAACTCCTGTAAGCATAATAGAGGCAAGATCCTCGGGAATGTTTATGTAGTTTTTAATCCTAAAAGAAGTATTATTCACACTCTTCAGTTGTATCAAAATGTCTTCTTAATGAAAAGTGAGCCATCTTTTGAAGGGAGACAAACTGTGAATGGAATTCAGTCCATCAATTTCAGGTATCTAACAATTACTTTTCGTCAGCCCAGTTTCCATCTAAGTAGTTTAATGATATCATTTCATGTCTTAATTAGGAACTGATCACACAGCTAATGAACTGGAAACATCTTATTATCTTTGAGGTGCTTCAACTGCCCTCGTTTGAGAGAGAGGGACACAAAGTAAGTGAGTAAAGGAGATACTTAAATCTTAAGTGCTGCTGCACCAAAATGTTCAGTGGCTGTTTCAGAGCAAGCAAGGGAGTGCCAATACTGTGCTTAAATCTAATCCTGGAAGTTCTCTATAGCATGAGTAGATAGACAAAGGCTTCACTGAGAGAGGCTCTAGCCCCAGTAACTGAGGCATTTCTGATTATATACAGAACTACAGGGCATTCAACTGGTGGTGATTCAGTCTGATTACATCTGGTATCTGCTGTTCCACCCACAGTGAAGGGGATAGGAAATGTGCAGCATGTGCATGGAACAAGGGGCAGGAGTGCTATTGCTTGCATTTTGTAAAATAACCCTGTGATGAAACCATTCAAGCTGGAAATGGGAGTCTGAATTTACATTGCAGGAAACAAGCGCTGGGCTTTTTTTAATGCAGATTTTAAACACAGATGTTTAAAATTAAATACAGCTTAATGTAAAAATCCAGGTGCGTGTGTATATATATATATTTAGTCTTATATGTGTGTATATAACCCACACACACCCCTATACACACAAAAGAGATATTCTGGAGAGCTCAATTTGAAGTGTTTTTCTTCCCTTCCCAGTTGAATGCCATAAACAATAAATTGAATGCCCTGGCCAATTCTGCCTTTGGTTCAAGGACTACTGGTGACTCAGTGCAAAAGATGGTTTAGAAAGCATCTCAGGAACCTGAGATGCAGCATTAAGTGTTTACAAGTTACATATAGCCTGCAGCCCAGGACTCTCATTTACTAAATGAGTTTTTCAAGTACTCATCTTCTGTAGAGCTTTTGGATTTCTCCAGAAGACCTACATAAAGTTTAGTCAGCTGTTCACTAAATCCAATTCACAACAGCTTGTAGGCTGATGATATACAAACATCTGTCTCCCCAGAAAAGGTAATTCTAACCATGTGTGAAGCATTAGGAGAGTTGGGCCAAATTTAAGAAATGGTAGGCAGTTTTGGAAAGTACATCGAACATCTTGACTTAACTGGGACCTGGGCTGGACTTAGGCAGGATGGGGAACAGTGGATTTTGGCAAATTTTCTGGATGGTAAAGAAATGGCAGTAAACATTAAGACTCAAAGTAAGGAAACACTTTTACACTGTGAGGATGACCAAGCACTGGCACAGGTTGTCCAGGGAGGCCTTTCTCCAGCATTGAAGGCATTGAAAAGCCATCTGGACACAATTCTCATCTCTATCTATATACTGAGAGAATGCAAAGTACACTCAAAATTAAACTCATTTTAGATAAAGCAAATTATTCAGTTACATCAGTAGCAAATAAATACAAAATCAGATAATCTTTGTATATGGCAATTTGATAATTTTGATACTGGGTAGATAATTTAATAATCCTTGATAAAAATAAAAAGGTAATACCCTGACAAACTTTTATTTATCTTTAGCAATTCAGTCCACTTATATAAATTACAAATAAAGTATAAACTTATTGCAGCTGGGGTTTTTTTGCTAAAAAATGCCTACCTGCTCCATAAACCACTGAGTAAACTATACGCTTTGCTTGCTCTCTATCAGCATGTTTCACTTCTTCACTTGGAATACCTTTCCTAAACAAACAAACAAAAATCACACATTGTCAATTAAAAGTAATTTGTTATCCATGCAGAAAATTTATTTAAAGTCAATAATCATTTAATAACTACAAAATTGTAAGATGTGAACAGAAGCACTTAAAGGCTTTTGTTGTCAGCCAGGAATGCACAACTTCTATACAAATTTTGGTGGTGACAGTCCATAGTAAATGAAAATATTTATTTTAATCCTAATCTTCTCCTTTCCTTTTCAATCAAATTCTTGGCTAGGAAAAATCCTACTACTATATTATTAGTTCTTCAGATTGAGGAGAATTTAATATTGACCCATGAGAAAAATTAGATATTTCCAGCAACAGCATTTCTTTAAGATGTGAGAGTCTACAGACTCAAAGCAGAAGTCTGACCTAAAGCTGGTTTTAAAAAGGCTATTATTAGGGCTTCACTAACAGGAATATCCAACCTTTCATCAAGAAATGACTGATAGAAGCATGCACTGAATCTCTCCATATGCCTTACAGAGCTCCACAATGGCGGGGCTTCACAGAACAGCAGCACTGACTGTTTCTGAACCAGAGAGTGTAGTTACATCACTCCCAGCAAAGTATCATCCTGCCCAGTTCCCCTTCACTGATGTAAACAGTCCTATGAAGGGCTACTGGATTTAGCAATGTGAAAAATAAAAAGCTGTGACTCCACAATCAAGTGTGTGCTACCTTATCCAAATGCAGCTTCAGAAAGGATGCTGACACTATTGACAACTGAAAGCACTGAAGAATATTGATCACTTGGTTTAAAGGGAAGCGTATTGAGGGAAATCTCGATCATCTACTCACACTCTGAAAACAAATATCTACACAAATTGTATTTGGAACATGAGAGATGAATTGTTATCAGAGATATCTGATGACACCTGTACCCTTTGGGAATAAGATTCCTCATGAGCCTGTTCATTACAATTTGGTTGTATTTTTAAAACCAAAGTTTGCTGTGGTTTGTTATGAGGGGTTTTTGCCGTGATAGATGCTTTGTTGTGAAAGTTTTGGCTGAAGTGCTTTGAGAAAATGTAGGTGTATTCTTGTGTATCTTCTTGAAGGAGAGTCTTTCACCATTATTATAATAGTCAAACACCTATTTTTGCTTACTTGGGCCATATACTGATTTTAGTCTGTGCTTAGTGCTGGTATAATCAGGCATTCTGAATGTTAAACAGGCAGGCTTTGAGTGCAATCAGATTTAAGAAAGTCCTTAGGGCAGTACAGATTTTTTTGAAGAAGAAAAATAAAATTGAACATAGTTTCAAACCTTCATCAGGCAAATAGTCTTCAGTTTTGTAGAAGCTCACATTGCTCCTTTGAATGTTACTAATTGCTCAAAGGTAAAATGGACTTCGCACTGCTCAGTTTAGCTAAGAAACATGAGCAACTGGATAATTTAATACAGGGTTTTCCATATGTAATGAAGATTATTCCCACTTAAGTCAATCATTCTGCTTTGGGATTCTTATAATTTATTTGCTTAGTTATGCCAGGTCAAAAGTTCATGGATCTTTTGAACAAAGTAGGTTGAGATTCCCAAGTGTACCTGAGTAAGAGGACAAAGTGGCAATTGGAGCTAATAAGTGTAGAATTAGGAAACTAGACATCATTAAGGATTTCCTGAAACAATCTCCAGCAGAAAGACTTCAGGAATCAAAGAACCTGGCAGAAAACTATATAGACACTTGAGAAAGCATTTATCCAGAACCAGGAGAGAAAAAAGAATCTGGTAAGAGAGCTAATCTTACCTAAGGACCTTTCTGAGATGCAGAACCAAGACTGAAGAATGCTGAAACCAGGGAAACCATGCAAAATGTAATACTGCTTTCCTAGTACTGCATAATTTGATTTGCCTGGAAAAGGCAAGAAATAGGAAAACAGCAACAGAATTTACTTGCAGATTTACTGAAGTCAGAGGCTAGAGAAAACTGAGAGGCACTGAATATGTCAGCTGCTCACTTCTCTGAAAAAGGGCTACAACAGAAAGAACACAGTGGGTAAGAAGTCATGTAGAGAAAAAAGTTTCTGTAGGGAAACAAAATTCTCAGATCACAGTACTGAGGAAGACACAAGGTGAGACTTGCTGGGAGGGACTGGTGATACTAGAGAAATTTTAACAGTGAAAGATGACACTAGAACTCAATTATGTGCACAATGAGAACTGCTGCCAGGATTTTGAGGATGATTATGCATTATCCAGACTTCAGCTTGAAAGGGCTGACTGGGAAAAACAAATAGTCTTATTGTTATAATCATGATCGGCAGTGTCAGCAATAAGAATAAAACCTTGCCTAACACAATTATCAGTGCAGATGTACATGCATCACGTACTCATGGCAACCCAACAGTCACTTTGCATTTCCTGGTCTGTGGTTAATCACGAAACATTGGGAAGAAATTAAAATTTCAGAGCTTTGTGTCAAATATTTCTTTTAATATAATGTTAAAACCAAAATGGTCAGTCAACACCTCCTAGTGTGTCAGTGGGAAATGTGAGCACTGGGCAGAGAGGCATCACATCCATCAAACTGAGTATTTGCAAATTCATGTACCACATGCAAGAACACATAATAATAAAGTAGGAAATTGCTATATAAATCAAAACTGCTTGAGCAAACAGAAGTCATTAATCAAAACTATTCATTCTTTTTCCTAATAAATGCTTTTTTTCTGCTTGTATTGACAATGATTGGTTTCTACTCAAATGTTTGATTCGTTCTGTAATACAGAGCAGCATTCCTGCAGTTTGAGTTAAAGGATATTTATTCCTTTGAAAAACAAAATTAAAGGGGAGGTGTGTAATTTCTCAGAATTGCAGCAGCCATGTTAGAAATCCCTAGTGGGCTTTCTGCTTCATCCTGTTTCCTCAACAAAATAATTTATGTTTGTTACAATTAATTTGTTTTAAATGGGTACTGTGAGAACCTATTTCAAGATAAAACTTTTCTTTTGTCTTTGGACTCATGGAACACCATAATGTTGAAAAGAAGACATTACTACCTGCTTATTTGTATAAGAAATTTTTAAGCAAGCCATCCAATGCATGAAAATACTCAGTGCTGAATTAAGGTAGGATGTAAAATAGATCTTTAATGGAAATGTATTTTTTTTTAATAAATTTGAATCTGGAAAAGGAAGGTGAATGGGCATAAAGCAGTCTCAGATGCTGGGCAGTGGCACTGAGGCAGTGATTCCAGCTCACACAGCACTGTGTGGGCACCTGGAGAAAGAATGTTATTGCAATGTTATAGAAACTGCTGCAGGAAAAAAGCTCAAGCGGAAAAAGAATTTGCTTCAGATTTTGTTGTGGAAATAGCACAATTCCTGAAGCCCTGCAAGAAATAAATACGCAGTTACCAGCTCTAGCATGAAGTGTATTTTTCCATTTTATGACATCGTTCTCATTACTCGTTCCCACATATGCTGGGAAAAGTTCAAGACCATAATCAATATTTTCACCATCTTCAAATCTCCAAATGTGCAGTACTTCACCTCCTACATTCCTGTCCTTGCCTGCCTACTTGTCTCAGGTTATTTCCACGTCTCTGACTTGTTTGTCCTTTACCTTGCTTTGTTTAGCACTGCTCTGCAAGTACTTTGCTTCATAGTACTTTATTTGATAGACATCTACTAGGTGGGAAAAAGAGCAGATTTCTGTGCTAGAAGACACGTTCAGGGTAGCAGATCTCATTATCCTGGGAAGGAATTAGCAGAGCTAAACAATCTGGAAAGGTCTGTAAGGACAGAAAAACAACTTAAAGCCACAAGTTGCAGAAAATCTAATAAGCACTGTGAGAGTAGAGATATACTAAGTCTTTTAAAAGGTGGTTCTACTAAGCACTGGGCTGTATGCCTAAAAGGGAATAGCTGTCTTATTCTGAGAGTGAAAAAAATGGAGAAAAATTTTCTAGCAAACAGTATAGAAGGATATCATCAAATTATTACTAAGAAACTAAGTGCAGATATGAAACAAAAAAAGGCATATATAATTTATTACTTTTTCAAAGCAAATATCTTGACTATTTTCATAATTTCTCCAAAATTCATTGTATGTTTTCATATATTAATGGGGTCTAATGGACATCTCAAAGAGTTTCTACTGCATTAAGTCTTTAAAACACATGAATAACAAGTTTCTTTAAGCCCAAGAAAAAAAAATTAGCAATCATATTTGTTATTTTAAAAAAGCTTAAGTATAAAGTGGAATAACACATTTAATGCAGAGTAGAGATCTCAATGGATTTAATTTTACCTGTACTGAATATCTAAAAAAAATTAAAACAAATTTTAGGATATGGAAATGAGCTCACACACCATAAAGTATACGAACACACAAAAAAAAATTTAAAAAAAAAAATCAAAGAAGCCACAGGGCATAAAGTTTGAGCAATGCCAAAATAAAACTTTGAGAACAGGTAGAAATAGGAGGAAATAAGTCTTAAAAGAATGCGATAAGACATTCCAGAATTTCTGAGAAATGCTGTATGGTGACGGAAGTCGACTGTTTATGCACAGGAAAAGGCAGAACAAACTTCTCAAACACAATATCTGGCAGACATGCATTGCCTTGATCTCCATTGCATTCCAGCCAAGCTAAGCTCAGTCATAATAGCCACAAACTCTTGGCTGCTCTCTTGCATCTCCCAATTAATCCAAGTCCTAGCTGTGAGTTGTTGATGTGGGAAACGAGACGGAGTGCCATTAAATTCATTTTACATGTGGTCATTAATGTCCAATAAATGAGTGAATGTATGGGTGAATACACATTCGTTCATCTGGCTGCTTTTACAGCTTTTTTTATTTTCATCAGTGAACTATATAAAGCTCTCATTTTCAATCACCTGTTGATGTTTAATAGCAGATGAGGGGTTTATATTTTCTAAGTTTGTGCCTGGAACTTTGTGTTGGCATATGAAACAGGTACAGAAAATTTATGCTATTAGTGACAACTTCCAGCTTCAGAAGAGCTCAGTTTTA